GAACTTAAGAAGAGTATAGGGGCTCCTGTGTTTGGATTTTAGTGGACAATACTCACATTCGTGGTAGTTTCTATACTGTTTACAGTCAGCATGATATTTCAGACGTCTCCTCGAGTCGCAAGAGGAGTTTGCGAGGAGACGGCTAAAATTCAGGCTAACTGATAACAGTTAGAAACTACCGCTGCGCTACCACTGCCACTGCAACTATTCACGGCGAATGTGAATCTTTAAATTTAATTATCCAAGTCCAAAGCGACGAGCCCCTAAGCTGTTCTTACGGTCGCAAAGCCATAAATGGATAACCGTTGAACAGCATAGCAAACGTTTACAAGAGGTGGCTGTGTGACGAAAACTTGAAAACCCTCTCCTCGCGACCCATTTTAATATATTTTGAATTTAGAAGCAAGCCTTCACTCATTACTGTCATTTGAATGGACCCTCACTCGCCCACTGCAAAAATTCATTGCGAAAAAATATTGTTTTCTCATACTCGGAGATGTTACCTGTTTCTTTTTCTTTCTTTGTTTGTTTTTATTCTTTATTTTTCGTTTTTATGTTATGTTATGTTATTTATTTTGTTATTATAAAATTTTACAAAATTGTTTTCTATCTATTGCTCCTTTTATTATTTATTATTATTAATATTATTTAATTAATTAATTATTTTTTCATAAAAAAATATTTTAATTTTTTCATGTTCCGGGATGTTCCGGCATGTTCCGGGATGTTCCATGTTCCGGATTTTATCGACGCCCTAATATTTTATTGAAAGGCATTTCCCTAGAACTTCCGCCAGCGCTCCTTGTATAAAGTTGATCGCGCCCTATTAAACACAAATTCAAAGATACTTTCAGAAGAATGACTGCTGTTTTGACGGTGAAAACCCAACGTAAACTCATTTCATCGCATTTCAAGAACAGATGCCGAACTAAGCCGATACGGTATAAACTCGTCTGCTATGAAAAAGTGTTTTGTTACCTCGATTTTCGCTCATATCTTAAGGCGTATTATCAAAAATCGCTCCATTTGCTCTTAAAAGTACTTTTGCATTCGAAATTCATTGCAAAGAGCACTTAACGACCGTAAAAAACCGAAACCCATCGAAATATGACCAAAGCGTGGACACTTTGCGGTGTTGCCTGGAAACACAAAATGCTCCGTGATGTCACACACTAGATGACGTCAGGGCGGACGCCATCGCGATATATGCAAGTATAGATAGACCGGCCGACTTTGCAGGTCGCTAACACCACGCACGGGACAAGCGCTTAACGCGCGACAAGATTATAAGCCTCGCGAGGCCAGGCGCCTTTGGCGCCTCACTTCGCGCGCAATACACATTTGATTGATTATTAGTGTGTCCGCCAGTTGTAGCATGACGAATGAGTTGCCTGTTTTTCATGCACAGAAATATTAATGTCCAAAATAAGTTTGGGCTTGCAGTACAGTATGTGGCTCTATAAGTATTAAGAGGATCCTATTCGAAACAGGCCATATTAGCAGAAGGCGTTGAAATAGGAAAAGCT